GAGGGAAAGCCATTCCAGGCAAAAGGAATGAACAGCATAATAAATGGGATGTTTGCAGACAGCGAGACAGTGCTCTTGAGAGTAGCAAAGGGTTTTGTCAAGGCCTTGTGGAAATACCTATCTTTGGTATGTGGTGGAATCACATCACAGAAACTCTTCTTGTCTTTGCCTTTTGGGACTGGTGTCCCAAACAAAAGGAGGGGATATTTGTTTCTTGTATGTAAAGAACAGTAAAGGCTCTGTAAAGGGCATGTTCTTGCTGTCCTGTAAGGGCAAGTATTAAACTGGGTTGGACATTTTTAACTCTTTTTATCCCTGCGACAGTATAAAAATCCAAATTGTTTTCAAGATATGAACTTCATGTAACCATTTGTTATCATGAGATCTGAAGGTAAACATAATGAGAAATGGTTACATGAGGTTCATGTTGTTGCTTTTCAGTTGCTAAATCACGTCCGAGTCTTTGAGACCCTATGGATAGCAGCATGCCAGGCTTCCCTGTCCTTTACTATCTCCCGGAGCTTGCTCAAGCTCATATCCGTCGAGTCGGTGATACCATCCAACCAACTCATCCTCTGTCACCCCCTTCTCCTCCTGCCCTCAATCTTTCCCAGCATCAGGGTCTTTTCCAGCAAGTTGGCCCTTTCCATCATGTGGCCAAAGTACTGGAGCTTCAGCTTCAGCATCAGTCTTTCCAATGAATATTCAGGGTTGATTTCCTTTATGATTGACTGGTTTGACCTCATTGCAGTCCAAGGGACTCTCAAGAGTCTTCACCAGCACCACAATTCAAAACCATCAATTCTTCAGGCCCAACTCTCACATCCATACATGACTACTGGAAAACCCATAGCTTTGAATATGTGGACCTGGCAAAGTGATGTCTCTGCTTTTTAATATGCTGTCCAGGTCTGTCATGGTTTTTCTTCCAAGGAGCAAGCGTCTTTTAATTTCGTGGCTGCAGTCACCATTCACAGAGATTTTGGAGCCCCAGAAAATAAAATGAGGTTCATGTCATAAAGTCAATTTGGTTTTTATAATCCCTATTTCTGCAATTCATTTTCTCTTATCATGACCAGAAAAGTCTCATCTCTTCTAATCAGCATTTTCTTAGAGAATCTTCTGATTAGGATTCTTAGTGGTTCCAAAAGTGTGGTTCCCAGACAATATCATCATGATCTGGGAACTTCACAGAAATGAACTGCAAACCCATTGACTCATCAGTTCTGCACTGGAGCATGCAGGTGATTCTGATGCATGTCCAGGTTTGAGATTCACAGTTAGAGACCATCCCCCATTGAAAAAATTTCTTCTTTTTTATATTCTTAAGAGTTAAGAAGATACTGCTTTATATAAATAATTGGATTTCTCACTCCAAATATAAAATCATAATACTGATATATGGAAAGATAGCTCTCCTGGGAGACTCTTCTGTGTGCCTCCTGCCTCACCCATTTGATAATTCCTGGGTAGAGAATGTTTAAGAACCTTAAATGATCTGGAAGTCCTTTTCTTTGTCTAGTAATCTGGGAGAAAGAGAAGGATACTAAACTTAGTACCATTACTGCATTTCTATGCATATGGCCCTGCTTTGGAAATTTTGCATAAGGTCTTCAAGGACCTTAAGCAAAAAAAAAAAAAAAGAAAAAGTCCTGAGGCTTGTTCAATTTAAGAAGCACTTTGTAGAACCATGTCTAATCCCAGAGAAAACCAAATTAACTCTCACCGCAAAGTTGTATGGAATCACACTCTTGGAAAACATGAGTACTTGTTGTAGCTAAAGAAGAATTGCCTGCCTTTAACTCCAGAAGTAACCGTGGCCGTGAAATTCCTTGGAAAGACCTCATCAATACTCATGTCTGTAAAACCCTAGAGTAGTTGGTAATAGAAAGCAGAGGGACGTTCATGTCTACTCTTAGTAAAACATGTGGGCCCCAGATCACATTTTAATAATGAAAGATAAATTAAAAGTGATCACCAGAACTCATTCTAAGGCTTGATTTTTTTCCAGTTTTTCTTACGTGGCATGTGTTAGGTTAGTACCAAAATATCAAACATACCTTCCAAAGGCCCTGAGAGGGTTAGGCATTAACTCAGATAATCTTGGGCAGACATTCCAATGTGGCAAAGCTAAGGAGATTATAATTGTCTTGTTCACTACATATGTTAAACGCTGCTTCCCTAAACTTAGGGTCACTGTGCCATTTTCATATTCTTGGACTAAAAGCTGGACATGTGTTTGTCTCTTCATAAAGCTTTTTCAGTTCCAAGAAATACTGTTCTCTAAATAGTAACTTACTGATGTTTTGTATCTGTGTGTATGTTTTTCTTTCTGATCAGAATCATTGCACTGGCAACAACCAGCTCTCCATATGGGAAAGCCCACTTGTAGTATTTGTCTGTTTCCATAGTGTAAATGCTATCGTCATGACCAATTTCAGGCTATCAATATGACATCATTGCAAGTTTGGGAAAAGTAGACACAATTGGCATTCTTAGATTCGTGCAAGCCAGCTCCATCACATCACTGGTATGTTTGGAAAACTGAGGAAAGAATAAAAATAAAACAGAGGAAATAAATTCATGATACTGCTGCTGAGGACAAAAATGATTTTTAATATTGAATTATATTTCCTTACAGTATTTTAGCTGTGTTTTAACTTAATTGTTGTCACTTTGTATACATAATTTTGTTTTGCCTTTGTATTCATGAATATCATCCTAATGGTTACATAATATTCCATCAAATTGATGTAGCATCATTTATCAGCTGTAATTAGGGCTTCCCTGGTGGCTTTGAAGGTAAAAAATTAGGGCTTCCCTGGTGGCTTAGAAGGTCTCCTGCAATGCAGGAGACCCAGATTCGATCCCTGAGTTGGGAAATGGCTACCCACCCCAGTATTCTTGCCTGAAGAATTCCATGGACAGAGGAGCTTGTCAGGCTACAGTCCATGGACTTGCAAAGAGTTGGACGTGACTGAATGACTGACACTTTCACTTTCTTAGATATTTAAGTAATTTTTCCTAATTTTTAATATTGCTATAAATAACGCTGTGTATCACTAGAGTGGTGAATATAAAGAATATAAATCTGCCTTCACTTTTCTGGCTATTTCCTTAAGAAATTCTAAGAGCAAATAATTTCAATTATGAGTCTTAAGAAAATATTCCTCCAAATCCTGTGGAAAGCCTGTAACAATGTGCACTCCAGCCAACGATGTTTCAGGATGCTTCTCTCACTCTGCTTTCATTACAACTACCTCTTTTGTAAAGGTTTGATAATTTGATAAGTTTTTAAAAAGTTATAGCATTGCATTTATTTCTTTGCAATTGTGCTGAATATTTTTTATGTTTATTCTCATTTTTGTTTCTCCTTTTTAAAAATTTTTGTTCATGTGAAGTGCTGCACGGTGAACTGGTCCCTTCCCAGGAGATTCTGCTGTCTACCACCTCCCTCACTCATTTGATAATTTCTAGACTGGGAGTGTTTAGAAGCTTTAAATGATCTGGAAGGCCCTTTTCTACTCTACTCATCTGAGACGAAGAAAGAGAGGGACACTAGACTTGTTCCCTCTTTCCCCCACTTACACCTCGACTTTTTCCTGTTTCTCTACTCCAGGCCCAAGACTCCCTCCACTCCTGCCTTACTATTCTTCACATAATCCAAACACACCACAGGGCAAGCAAATTCTTCCTCCATACATCTTCGGGGCTGACTCCCTCACTTTTCTCAAGGCTTTTTGCCAGTGCCATCTCCAACAGACTTTCTCTGACCCCCCCATCTCAGGTTGCTATCCCTTGTCTCTAACTCATTATATTTCTTCTCTGTATCACTCTTCTCTATAGCATTTTTCACTATCTGCTGTGGTATATATTTTATTTTTTCATCACCTGCTTCTCCTCTAGAGTGTAAGTTCCATTAGACAGTATCTCTAGAGCCTAGAGAATGTCTAATGCTCATTAAATAATTGTTGAATGAGTGAGTATACTCCAGTCCTGTATCTAAAGTGAGTGAAAGTGAAAGTGAAGTCGCTCAGTCGTGTCTGACTCTTAGCGACCCCATGGACCACAGCCTACCAGGCTCCTCCATCCATGGGATTTTCCAGGCAAGAGTACTGGAGTGGGGTGCCATTGCCTTCTCTAAAGCGTTAGTTTTATCTTGATGAAGGCAAAATCAATTTATATGTTCTCTTTAAACAGAGAACATATATGTTTAAAGAGGACAGAAGATGATAACTATCTGCAATATCTGTGACGAATATATGTCTTGATTTTTAAAGATATTATGTTTTTAGACAAACAGAGGTTGGCATTTTTATATAACTAAATCTTCCATTGTGACTTCTTTCCATTCAGATTACACTTAACAAAATTCTTTTTCATAAATAAATCACATAACTTTGTATCTATACTTTATTCTGATATTTTTATGACTCTTTAATATATAAAGAATTTATTGTGTTATTGTGATAAAATGAAGTCTGATTTTTTTATGTACCTTACTGTTGGGATAGTTTATTGCTTGTAATGACGTTGGTTTTTCTTGTTATCATGTTCCAAAAAATCTATAGGTGTCAAATCTTAATGGACATTCTTAATTATCTCTAAGATATTTTCATCTTATTTTATCTCTGTATTTTAAAAACACTTTACAATATGGACTAATATACTTGAGTTTGTTTTTGATATCACTACAAGTTCTGATTAGATACAGAGCAAATCAAAGAAAACATAATAGGAAGTTGGGTTCCCAGACATGGAAATATCAAGGACTGAAGTAAAATCTGCTTCTAGCCACATTTTTCCTGAAACACCTGCCAGGTGTTATTAGAATTGGAAAGCTGACCCTTGTATTGACCCGAAGTCCAGTGCCTAACCTGTAGTTGTTACTTGATAAATATTTGTGCATGAACCTTAGGGCATGGTATCCTTTCCAGAAAAGAGTATTCTGAGGAATAGCCTTCCTTTTCCATCTCTCTTCTGTTTTCTCCTTCTCTTAGCTGCGGTCCAGTGCTGAGCTCCATCCCGACCTGCTCACAGACTGCCTCACGGTGCAGCCCCTGCAGCCCTCCACCTCCCCACGAGACGCTGTCGATAGGGCGGTGGGATGCTCCCCAGAGCCCGGGCCTGACCTCTATCCAGGTAATAAAGCAAATTCAGCAAAGGCAGACCCAACCACATCAACCGTCCTTGTCTAAGCCCTTCACTCTGGTTAAAGGGAATGCATATATGAAAATGCTTCCAAGATCATCTGTATTTCACTTTATCAGTAAACTGCAGTTTATCCTCCTCCTGTCCTTCCCATCTGATTCCTAAGCTGGGTTTGTCAGCAGACTGCTTCTTCGCATAAAAAAACAAAGTAAAATAATACGTTAGCTCTTTTAGCCCTGGCTTTCTGCCAAAAGTTCAATGTACCCAACCCTCCCAGGTATCTTAAATTTATTAACTTGATTGAAACTCAAAGTCTTTCCCCCTTAAGCAGGTAACAGGCTGCCTGTGGATTTCTTAATGAAGCAGTCATTGTTGTCTTTGCATTGCAAAAGGAAGCCCCATGTCTCTCAGAAAAAAAAATCACATCAATAAATCAATTTGTAAGAATGTCCATTAGTGTTTGTCAACCACTGGGGGAGTAGGGATAGGAGTGCTATTCTGGCACTCCCAGAATAGCTTCCTTTTGCCTAGGTTTGAATAATAGATGACTCTATATTTAGAAAAATGTTATGTATGCAGTGAAAAATGAGAAAGGATTATTATGCAATAAGGACATTATTATTTTTTTTTTTTCCATTTACTCTGTTAGCCTGGGCTTTTGTGCATTTTCCACTCCCTATAATGGTGATGGACTGGTGCAAACGTGGTTGGTTATAGTCTTCATATATGGAAAGCTCTTACTGTCATGCTATGAATATGAAAGCAAAAGTCCCACAACTCCACATTCCAGACAGTGGGAATTTTCTGTTTTCTGTGAATTACAAATTCTACTCCCACCCCATCTGGTTCCAGCACCAGGTTTTGGCAGCAGATTGCTTTTTCTTTTTAAACATACTAATAAGCCATAAAGAATGAAGGATTTACTGATGCATAACAGTGGAACAGGAGAAAGCCATGCTTGTATAACTTTTTAAATTTGACAGTTCTCAACTGATCCAAATGCACAGGAAAGAGTATTAAGCAAATGTTTTAAGAGGGCCAGTCATCAAGACATCCTTAATGTTGTCCCAATGTTGGTGGCCCTTTATCAGTTGCTTTGGGTACTTATTCTTGGAGAAAACAAAGCCTTAGCTTTTGAGACCATAAGAGATTAGATGAAAAGTTATTTGAAAGGCTGACCAAGTCTGACAAAAGTTTTGAGTGCAGGTACACACATGAAATATGCCAGTGTACAATGTTATCAACACTCAAATATTTTGTGTTAGATATATACATGAAAAAGCATGACTAGCTTTTGTTTGCACATATGTCTGTTTGATTTGCCAAACATTTGATATATGAACATTTATCCTCACATATTAAATTCCAATCAGTTTGAAACAGCCTTTAGGCTATATCCCTACTTATTCAGTCCATAAATCCATTATCTTATTAAATACCTGGAACCCAACAATTAAAGAGACAAAATTAAACAGAATCAATTGAAAAATGGCCCAACATCCAATATAAATAGTTTATGATGAGGGGCTAGCCTTGTTGAGTTTAAACCTCCTAGAAAAGGGTTTGGGAAGCCACACTATCTTTGTCTATGAACAACGTTAGTATCTTTGCTATATGTGGCATGCAGTATATGACTCACTTTCAAAACTCAGGAGTCACATTTGTCTGGTGTACTTTTGGATGTCTGGTAGTATTGTTAAAGTTTTTTAAAATGGCTTTGTCATTCCAAACAGAATTCCTCTTTTTTTTTTTTTTTTTTGTTTGTGATACTTTTCTGCATTTGGTCTTCAAAAAGAGCTCTTAGTTTTGAGCCTCTAACTCTGGCAGGCGAGCTGCCAGAGTGGACATGGAGCCTAGGTTACCACAGCGTCAACAGAGCATCTTCACAGTGACTCAGATTTTCTGTGACTCTGGGAATATTGGGAACAGGCAGAGGGCCATCTTGCTTAACTTTCTTCCTAGAATTTTACTTCTCCAATTAGCGTAGAACTATGAAAGTTTATCTGCCCTGCTTCTTTCTTTATTCCTGCTTCCCTCGGATTCTATTTTACTTTCTTTGTTCTTGACTTAAAAAAAAAAAAAAAAAACACAACTGATTATATTCTGTGTTTTGCTGAGAAGGCAACAAACCCAGAGCAGAACAAGGCAAGTGGAAAAACTAAATCACAAAAATCTGAAGCCTTCCTTTTATAGTTCTAGAAATTTACTTGCCAGGAGTGTATGTTCACACCAGTCTCAAACCTATGCTGAAGATCTATAGAAAGAAGACAAATAGCAAAAATTACCAAAGGAAAAGGAAACTGTTCATCAATTAGTTCAATGTAAAATCTGAAATGTTAAGGTATTTTGATAAAGATTAAGACTTGGTTAAATGGCAAAGGGATTTGGAGTCATCCCATTAACATTCTATTACACAAAATCAAGAAAACATTTGTTTAAAGATTGTCAAGAATGTATACCTATAAGTGCTAATAAATTGATTTATCATAAAATATTTTGATGGAAACCTGTTGAGTGTATATGGGCAAGGGATCAAAATAGTTTAGCATGAACATCATGATTTTTTAGAAGCCACAATGTCTGGGGACTTGTGGTTTGAAGAAATCATGGTTTTGAAATGGAAATTTTTAGTGGCTAGTAGAGAATGATTTATAAGATTCCAAGACAGGAGTAGTTTGCAGAGCATTAAGGTGAACAGGGAAGATGGCAGTTATGATACATACAAGTCTTGCAAGTTTCCTAACATATTGGCCTCCCTCATTGAAACAAACTTTTCAGTTGATAAGACTAAGTTTGATTGGAAAGGATTGCACAGTAAGACTTTTATTTCTTTGGAAGACAATATTGCCCCAGGTTAAAGCAGCCAAAAAAATCACTTGAGGCCACACTGAGAAAGATTTTAAATTGACTTGTTTACTTGTCTTCTATTCTGAAAATCCCAGGGCTCCCCAGGCCTGATCCTGGGTTAACGTGAGATTAATTTTGTGATCTAACAGGGAGGCCAGGGCAGTGATGAGTAATTCTCAAGGATGGCTCCTTATATTTTCTGTGCTTTTGTTCAGAAGTTCTGTAACCCAGATAGATAAAGCCCCAGGCCAGCCTGTAAATTTAGGTGGTTTATGTGGTAATCTGAGGGAGAAGTGTTTTATAGCCAGTAGATCAAGGTGTGAATGCCACATTCAAGTCTAAATGCCTGTGTAGATCTTCTCAGCAGCTCCCTCAGTGAACTAATAAAGTGGATAAGCCTACAATTAGTGAGTCTACAATATCATGGACAGCCTGGACCACTGCCTGGTCTTGGCGAGAGTCCATTCACGAATAAAACATGCTCTGTGGAAGAAGATCTGTCCTATGAGTGATCATAAAAATTACAGCTCCCTCCAAACTAAAACTGTACTACAGACTCAATGAAAGATGGTCTTTGCAAATGCCATTAACCATGAAAACATCGTAAAGGCCAGTGTGCTTGAGATATTTGAGTCCCACAGAGAACAGAGACCACCCATTAGGTGAAGAGCTAACGCAACTAAACCAGGAAATCTACAAGAATGAGGGGATTTTATTGATATCACTTCTATTGGATTATTAAATAATTATGTTTTAGAGCCTATAAATCCTATTGAATTATCCCAATTTTGAATGTAACTTTATAGATGTTTTAGGAGAAAAAGCAAATTTTCAGATATCATAGGGGATTATAGGAGGAAAATACAAGAGTTTCTTAGTGTAGAAATTTTTGAAGTCATAGCAGTTGGTCCTCCATATCTGCAGATGCAGAATTTGAGGATACTGAGGGACTTCAGCATCCAGGGATTTTGGTATTTGTGGGGGTCCTGGAACCAATCCCCAAAGATGCTGAGGATACATTCCCTTCCCTTCTCTCATTACTGGAAAATGAAGGCTTCTCTCTTGCAATATCATCACTTTTTGTAATAACTAGTACCATATTAAATCCATAGAGTATTTAGCATGCTTCATGAAATAGTTAATGTTTCATTTTAATGTAATGTTATGGCATATATCTTAATGCATTTTCTACATTCTTGAGTTGAGTATATTTGCTATCTTGGGACAGCTTTCAGAGTTGTAGGGGCTAGAAATAGTTTTATATAAATATGCCTCATATTGTCTAGTCTCAAAAAGTGGTTGTTAGGTTGAGGACTTTATTAGAAGTGTCTAAATTGGTACACAAATTTCCCAATAGGTTAAACTTTCTAGGAGAATTGTGAAGATCAAATAACACAATCTATATAAAAGTCCTTAAGAAGGCATATTGCATGATAAAAAATGCAATAGTTATTACTTGCATTATCTCAAAAGCACTCCTTTGCTCAGAAGTCACAGGAGTTGAAGAAAGGACAGAACAATTTGGAATTGGTGTTGGACCAACACTAATGGTCCAGTACCAAGAAGGAGGTAGATACTGGGGTTATAGAAAGGATTTAAAGGGAAACATTCAGCAGTAAAGTCATTGGCAAGTCTCTTTGATGTTACTCTGAACTGCTGTCAAAATCCTGCATTGTTTTTGTAACATCTCTTGCATCTGTGGTTCATCCACAGATTGCATTGACTCCGCTGAGGGTACGATCAAGCCTCATCCTTCTGTGTTGTAGGCACTGATAGCTTTAATTTACAGCTTTAGTCCCTTGCTCTTGAGCTTGTCCTTTAGTATGTATCACATCACCTGAAAGACCTATGAAAATAGACTGCTGGGTTCTACCCCCAGCATTTCTGATTTAGTAGGTCTGAGTGAGTCACAAGAACTAGATTTTTTTTCTCCTAATAAGTTCTCAGGTGACACTAGGTGCTATTTGTCCAGGGACCATACTTTCAAAGCCATTGTTCTGTGTCGTAAAGTGTGGGAATTTGACTTCTAGCAAAGCATGATCTGAATTTTGACTGATGGAAGTTACAATAAGAATAGCCCCTAATTAACTGGATGAGAGGAATCCTTTCAATGTATACATGTAGCTAATCACCATGATGTACAC